CATTGGGGCGCGAGGGAACCCCCACCACAAGACACTCACACACACTCTCTCTCACGCGCGCCCCCCCCACCCCCACACACACACACACACACACACACACACACTCACTCACTCACTCACTCTCTCTCTCTCTCACTCACACACACACACACACACACACACACACACACACACACACACACACACACACACACACACACACACACACACACACACACACACACACACACACACACACACACACACACACACACACACACACACACACACACACACACACACACACACACACACACACACTCACACACACACACACACACACGCTCACGCTCACCCACACACACACCAGGGGGGGGAGGGGGGTCCCAACGGGGCCTGCGGTGTGTGTGCGCGCGTAGGTCGCGCCATCACGCGCCTCCTCGGCCGTGCGGATGCAGGGCTGGCCGTCGAGGCGCGGCGCGGCGGGAAGGCCGCTCGGCGCACCCCCGCTCGCTTCCCCTGTCGGCAGCAGCCCGCTCGCATTGCACCAGAACCTCGAGGCCCAGGAGAGCGCCTCCCCATCTCTCCCCGTATCTCCCCATCTCTCCCCGTATCTGCATCAGAGCCTCGAGGCGCAGGAGAGCGCCTCCCCATATCTCCCCGTATCTCCCCATCTCTCCCCGTATCTGCATCAGAGCCTCGAGGCGCAGGAGAGCGCCTCCCCATATCTCCCCGTATCTCCCCATCTCTCCCCGTATCTGCATCAGAGCCTCGAGGCCCAGGAGAGCGCCTCCCCATATCTCCCCATATCTCCCCATATCTCCCCATATCTCCCCGTATCTGCATCAGAGCCTCGAGGCGCAGGAGAGCGCCTCCCCATATCTCCCCATATCTCCCCATATCTCCCCATATCTCCCCGTATCTGCATCAGAGCCTCGAGGCGCAGGAGAGCGCGCGACTCTCTCCCCATCTCTCCCCATCTCTCCCCCAACCTCTCCCCCGACCTCCCCATATCTCCCATATCTTCCCCATCTCTCCCCATCTCTCGGAGTAGGAGACGACGCTGCGCGAGCAGATGGAGCTGCAGAGGCACCCCCCCCTCTCTCCGACCACAGCTCGCGGATATCTCCCCACATCTCCCCACACCTCCCCACACCTCCCCACACACCTCCCCACACACCTTCCCCCCCACCTCCCCACATCTCCCCCCAGGCAGCTCTCCGACCAGCTGCAGGCGCAGCAGCAGCAGCAGGCGCGCCAGAGGGTCGCTCTAGGGGGTCGCTCTAGTCCGGAGAGATTTGGGGGGGGGGGGGGGGGGGGGGGGGGGGAGGGGTGTGGGGAGGGGTGTGGGGGGGGGTGGGGAGGTGTGGGGA